TTTTTTCCTGCCTCGCTGCCCTCCACTTTCCCATTCTGGAGCGCTAGCTTTCGCCCCCCCCCTTGGCCTCAAGTTGGATTCTAGCAGGCAGTCTACCCGAACGGAAAGGATAGCTACTTCCTGAGAGGGATAAGACACAAGAAGCATTCCACTCAGATTTTCTTGGATCATTGCCTTGACACACAGGCAACCAGAAGCATTTCTCCATGTGAAAGAAGCCATTCTCCCCGATTCGACTTGTTCACGTTGTTCATACCATGGATCCTTTCAAAATCACGAAAGGTAGCGGTTACGCTACCTGAGTTTTCCTTTTGCTTTAGCAAAAATGTATTAACCCAGAGCTGCAGCCTAGCTCTCGGAGAAATGGTCCCCGACATCTTCGTTTGCTGGCCGGGGGGGGGGGGGCCCCCCCCCCTTTCAACTCCCCCCTAGCGCGCCTCGGGGTCAACCGTTCGAAAACACTGTAAATATCAGTGTTTTCAGCTCTTCCAGTCCTCAGCAGTGACCAAAAATCATGGAATTTACAGCGTTTTTTGTGGCTGTCCGGCAAAAAACACCGCAAAAACCGATGGTTTTTGATGCGTCTCGGTTAGAAAAATGACCGAAAAAAAACCAAAAACCAGGAAAGATTTTGTCAGAAAGGGTTTTTGAGGCTTTTGGAGGCTTCAAAATTGCACAAAACTATGGTATTTACAGGGTTTTGTGCACCTTCTCGGCAGAAAACGCCGGTATTTACACGGTTTTCTGCGCTTTTCCAGCGCTCAACCGTGGTGCGCCTTTGGATCGACGGCTACAAAATACCGTAAATACAAGTGTTTTCAGCTCCTCCTGTCTTCAAGCGTGGCCTTAGACCTTGCCGCGGCTGTGGATCGACGGCAACGAAACCTCGTAAATACCAGTGTTTTTGAGCACGTCCTGTTTGCAAGCATGGCTTGCGGCCATGCAATTTACAGGGTCGCCGCACGTCACTATGTAAATCCGAAGTTGCATTTGAGAAATATGTGACTCCTTTTGAAGGCACGTCAACCTGTATTGAAACCGCTAGACCGCTACAGCTTCTGGAGGTTTTGTCAAGCGTTTGTGCATTAGTCTTTCTTTCATCACGCTCACTCACTTCTCTTCAAACAAGTGGGGGGCCTCTCACCTCCTCCCTGCTACCTTTCGTTCACCCCCCTCCTCTCTCAAGTCTTTCAAATACAGTGAAGATAGTGAAGACCGGAACGTAAGGCATTGAGTTTGTTTTGCTTCTTCATAGCAAGCACCTCTACTCTTTGCGAACCATGTACTTGCGGCAGGTGTTGCTCCCCCAGGGCAAGCCTGAGGTTGACGAGCTTCTCAACGAGGATGGAGTCAGCAGGGAGAAATACATGAAGCATTGGTTCAAACAATCTAGTTTGAAATAGAATCAACAGCACTCCCAACTAATGCTGTTGCGATGCCGCACCAGGTGGATGTCGCATGTGACCCCTTGAAGAACGGGTATTGAGTCAGTATAGGTATCCATCATAGGAGTTCCTGCCAGAGCATGGTCATCCAAATGGATCACCCCATTGCCACAGATCCACGCAGTTCCGGATGACACATAAATGGAACAACACCCTGCAACTCCTTTTGAGACTCCATCTGAGCCAAACTGTGGTTCGGGTGGATGTCACATGACCTCATGTCACCACGTCTTTGACGTTGACCTCCCTCGATCTTGTCCGTGTCACCGGCCAGGAGGTCTACGCCCATCTCTTGGGCGAGTTCGACCTGGTGAACGTGAGCATCGAGTTCGGCCATCCCTTCCAGGCGCCGCGGCGTCGTCTCCGGTTCGTGTTTTGGGGACCTTTCTTAAGTGATGACGTGAATCGTTGGCGTTGGCGTTCTTCAGCTGAAAGAAAGGACATACAATTTATTAGGGAACACATGGGAACACTATGGAAGCAGATCGACGACTCGGGAGTTCTTTGTTGGTGTCGGAGCCAACCAAAAGCATGCTGGGACCCCGACCCCCGCTTTTGGAAATCACCTCCTATTTAACCTGAATTTAACCAAGAATACCCCCCCTGCATGTGATGCTTGGTCCTTCCAAGCCCCGGCTCAGCCTGGCCGAGGCGGCGCTGGAGCGCCCCGAGATGCAAGAGCTGCAGCAGCAGCTCCGTGCCAGCGGGCTTTGGCGGCGCGTGGCGGAGGCGTGCCTGTGGTCAGTGGAGCAACCAGCGGAAGGTTATAGACTTAGGGATCCAGAAAGCATAGTGCCAACTGGAACAGGAACTGGAAAACAGGAACTGGAAATTGCACTTTTTGGTACCCCCAAGGAATGCCCAAGGAAAATGACACATTAATTAGTTCAAGGATTAAAAGGAACTGAACGTAATGCCCAAAAAGTTCTTATGAGTCCTTGGTGAAGTCCCGTAACTCATGGATGTTCATAGGACTTGGGGTTGAATGGCATGTGGAAGATGGGTAGGGTAAGGCTGGGAGAGTGATGGAATGTGTACGGCGTACGGGTGGACAGATGGAATGGATGAGATTGGATGTGCTGCTGCTGCGATGGTAGACTCTGGAGACACTTGATTTGTGCAGAAGAGACATGCTCGGCTGGGCCTCTAGCGTTGTCCAGACGAAACCCCTTGGATGAGTTGCGGAACATCTGAATCTTCAATTCACTTCCGTCGGGATTCTGTAGCGGGTTTGAAGATCAACCCTTAAGAGTCATTGAAATCAGGGTTATATAATCAATCCTTCAACCTGTCTCCCATGGAAGGATTCTTGGCAGACGATGGTAAGCATAACTGCAACATCACATCTCGGGAGAAAACATGAGATTTTATATAGGACCTTAATGTCCCAGTTGTTTCTTTTGTAAACTGATAAGATGTTACCCTTTGCAAGACTCAGTGATAATTGATTATAGAATATTTTTGCGTGGACGCATCACTTAAAGGCTAGGTTTTGAAGAACACCAAACATTAACATCATGTACCATCCACCACCCGCCGGTTGCTCGGCCGATTTGGCTTGCTCGCAGCTTAGTAGCTTGGATCTACCTGATGATCCATGAATTTCATGCCCCATGCGCTCGATCTTTGCCCAGCAGCAGCTCCTTAACCCATGCGCGTGAGACGACCGGGCCTACTACGGCCTCGTCGCTCCGTGCTCATGGGGCTGTGAGCTGGACGAGACGGAAGCTGGAAGCATCTGGGGTCACAGAGCTTTGCAGAAGAACATGCTTTTGATTGTTTTTCTTTGTGTTTCTGGAGTTAAGCATCTACAGGGAATCTATAGTAGGCATTCCGTGGAAGCCTTGGAGTAGATTGAGCAGAAAACCACAAGCCAGATTCAGCCTTAGATTGGATCCATGTTCTCACCTGGGTCTATGATCAAATGTCTCAGTTCACCCACTGCAACAAGTGGGATCGAAAATGATCGAACATGGTTTTGATCCAACTCCAACAAGACTAAGGTGAAGAGCCCTGGCCTTGGGCTCCAAAGATGGCGTGAGAGCCTGGTAGTCGCTGCAGCCTCCAGCTGCGCTTTTCGCAGGTCCAGGGTCAGTAGACGCTTGGAGCAACAAGAAGTGGCCGCCCTTCTGACTTTGTTACATATTCTAGTGACTAGTGTAATTTGTTGTATTTTATTGCCTTGTTGCAGAGTTCTGTACAGATAGGCTAATTATATACTCTGCACATCTCTACACTCTCATGAACCTCGGCATGTGGCTTTTTGCTAGTCAACTGGCATGGCCCATGGCCCCATATTCTTCCAGCAGCTTTTTCAGTTTTTACCCATCGCTTAGGACGCGCCACGCCGTCAGATGCCGCGGTCTTCTGCTCGGCGCTGTCCACGTGCCCCGACTGGCGCTCGGCGGTGGCCGAGCTCAGCGCGGAGGCGACCTACAAGCTGCGGAGCCGTGAGCGCCGGGGCTGGGACTTTGCGCTGGTGCATGTGTGTCCTTGGCGGACTTATTTGAGGTGGTGGTATTTGGTGGTTTTGGGAGTGGTGAGGGAGGAAGGTTGTGATGGGTTAAGGATAATTAAGGTGGGAGAATTGGATTGAGTGGGTGAAATTGAGATTAAATGAAGCCTTTATGTTTAAAGACTTCCAGGAATTGGAATTGCAAGTGGTATATGAAGTGACGATTTCCGCCCCAAAGCCCATGCCGACGCACTTGAGGACGGGGCATGATGGCATCTCGGTGTCCGACGTGACCTTGGCACTGGACCAAAGCCTGGGCACCAAGGGCAACTGCTTGGGCGTGGCGGTGAACGGCTGCGGCGGCCCTGGCACCGACGCTTGGAGACTGTTGGGAAGACCTTCCACAGGTAGAGCCGGCCCAAAAGGCGACCCTTGTACGATGCGGGGCGGCCCTGGCAGTCCAGGCTACGGCTACATGTGTGTTTTCTTTCTCAACCTATTAAGTGACGGTTTGCTGCTGTCAAGGTTCACAATCACCTGCATATTGTGAGCAGGAACCCCGTCCGACACCTGGAGCTAAGACAGCATTAATTATATAAACGATATTGAAAAAGCGCAGCCTGGAAGAAACGTATTTTAAGGCCGCAATGGTGAGGACAACATCATATGAACCACCACCACTCACTGCTACAGTGCTTCAGGTGCCCCACTTCATATTTGACCTGACATCTCCAATGAGTCACCTGTTTTTTTAAACAAGACAGACTGACTGACTAACTCCACTTCATGTTGACATGGAATTCCAATGAATGTTCCGAGGACCACCACCGTCAGTCGCACGTGGGGCGCGCGGTCATCCAGTTGGTGGCGGTTCAGCTGCCGGTGAAGCCGGGGAGGCCCAACGTGAGTTCGGCCAAGTCCTTCTTCGTGGGGCAGAGGGAGCCTTGGATTTTGGTTTGGGGATGCTCTTTGGTTTGGTTTGGTTTGGGGGATGCGTTTGTTGAATGGTTGTTGGGCAAGTGAATCCTTGGGCAGGCGGCAGGAGTCTCCACACAAACTAACTAGTAACTAGTTTCTTCATGATTAATTAGTCTGGTTGTGAAGGGGTGAAGCAGTTTCAGTCCGACCATGTGCCATGTGTGGCTTGGTGCGTTTTGCTTCAATTTGTGAAAAGATTAGTTTTCCTTCTCATACATTCATAGATCATAGACCGACTTGGTTTCAGGTGTCGAGATCTTTCCCCACACATGACTGCCTGTCCCTATGAAGAATGTAGAAGGTGATCATTGCAGACACTTGTTGCAAGCATCACCCGCCAACAAACACATTTAAATGCGGACGAGGAGACTGTAAAGCCGCAAAACGAACGCGAACCATCAGAGAAAAACTGACCTAGCCCCATCTTAACCACCATATACCGTTACCACCATAACTCAAGCCCGGAATCCCTTCCTTCGCTAATACTTGGCCAATAGAGCTTCTCCTCAGTCCCTCAAACTCTCTTCCGCCCAGGAGCTTCAGCAGATTTCTGGGCTCGTTTGTCAGCTGCAGAACCGCACGCGCGTGATCGGTGCCCAAGAATCCGCGCTCCCAAGAGCCTGGCGACAGTTCCTGGGCGTCTTGGAAAACGAGGAAAGGCCCAAAGGGATCCTTCTCTTCATCGAAGCTTGGTGAAGCAAAGGTGGGGATGATTGATGGCTGGATTGTATGGATTGATTGGATTGATCGACTGGTTGACAACTGATTGGTTCATTGATTGCCTCGGGCCTCCTCAATGCTCAGGTTGATCTCAAGGTCTTCATGGGCGCTAGGTTGAAGCAACATGACTGACTGTGTGATAACTAGTGGCTAATATTGGCTATAGATGCATGTTTGTGGTTTGAGTTTGATTTTGCTTTTGGCTGTTTTGTTTGTGGCTGGCTTCCATGTCCGCCATGTCGGACCCAACCTCAGACTCAGCACTTCTTGTATTGTTGAAAACGCTCATGGACTCATAGATGTCAAAACCGAACCGTTTTCAAGGAAGGCATGTGTTTCCGTTGCCGTCTTTCTCATATGACAGAAGGCATATTTTGCCGCAACACCGAAGAATCTTCCAGGATTAACTCATGCCTCATGGGTTAGCTCCCGTTTTAACTCGTTATAGGATGTTATAGGGGGATGTTCCTCCTAGACTCCTCAGATGGGTTCACCGATCTGTCAAGCGCCCTTAGCATAGCTTTCATCTCTTCAGGACCCCTTGGCATCGAAGTATGTCGTGGGGACCACGCTCAGTGCGCTGGATTTGGCTTTTCCCACTGCTGTGAAGTGTGGAGGCCAGACCATTCGAGCCGTGGAAGGACATGGAAAAGATACAGGCAGAAGGCAGAAAGAGTTCCAAAAATGAATCAGCCCGTAGAAACTTAGAGCCTCCACTAAAGAACTTAACGACAAACGTCTCCACATCAGTCTCCTCTATTCTGCACCTCACACCGGTCCCTTTCCCCTACACTACCCCCCTAGCACTTCCCCATCCTCCCCAGGCGTGTGCGCCGACCTGCTCCCCTCCCGCAAGCGCCTTTGCGTCGCTGCCTACGAACGCGCCCGCCTGGCCGGCGCCGGTGCCGCGCCGAGCGGCGTGGATGAGCCGGAGATGGGCGGCGTGGCGGGGATCCTGCTACCGGCGGATGTGTCCATCCATAGCGTGGTCTCCACGGGGAGCAGTGGCTTGGAATGGAAGTGTTGGGGGGGAGTTGTTGATGTTGAGCCCTTAGGAGGAGGTTGAGCCCTTTGGAGCTTTGAAGAGGATGGAATGGTGCAGTCTGGAGCCAAGCACATATACAGTAGTAGCAAGGTATGTAGTTCTTGGTAAGATAGGGCCTCATTTCTTCGGATGATTTTCTGAATGTGACCACCTGCAGGGTGGCTACTGTTTTGCGTTGATGGCAAGAAAGGGTCTTTAGAATCTGGACTACCCATGGACGATCCAAAAAGTAAGCATTGCAGACCAACAGCCACGAAGAATCCATTTCCTTTCGCAAGTACTGAGCCGGGTGGCACACGAGACACCAACCATGGAGCCCTGCCACGAAGAATCATCCCAAAATCAGAAAAACCATTCACGGTACCAGTGGGCACTGCAGTACATTAAGCTAACGATCTTCAGACCTTCTGGCCAGTGGACTCGTTGCGGCTTGTGAAGATGTGGAGTCCTACTTATAAGCCATTTGTGTTTGATGTAGTTGAGCATCTCCATTATTGGAAGATCATTTTGTTTCCGGCGGCTTCTGTTTTTGCTTCCCAACA